GGGGAAGCCCTGGCAGCAGGATCCTACTTATTCATAAAATCCACTTTGACGGAAGGGGATGTGTGACAGGGCAGGAGTGATCCAAGAGTTAGAAATTCAAGCTTCAGAAACACAAGATTGCTGCTGTCCAATTTTGTGGTATACCTGAGAGACATTTGGGAAGCAGCCTGTCAGCCTTTTGCAGGCTGCTCTGTATTTGTTTATTTCGCTAAAGCCTTTCTTCACGACTTGCATTGGTTGCCTGCATTTTTGTTTCCCCTCTTGATGTGTGATCTGGCTCTGGGTCAGCTTCGGTTTCCACACTGCCCCAAGGCACTGAGGACAGGCGACAGGGCCAGAGGTGCTCTGAGGGGCGACACCAAACCCCCGTCATGCCACAGGCTGCTGCAGCTGGCTCATGCACTCATAGTGTTACACAGTTTGCTAGCTCAGAAGGTAATTCTGACCGAGACAGACTGATAGTGATTGCTGTCACCTCCTGTTGTGTGTTGGGTGTGACTGACTTCCTCAGATCTCTCAGGAATTTTTGCCAAACATAATTTCTCTTTAGGGGCTTAGGACACTGTTGATACCTTGACATCTCCTCTTTTTCCCTGGCAGACTGGAATTTTTACGGGGTTTGATGCCTTATATTGAAGGGGCTAAAGTGTTAATGAGTGTTGGCATTTTCCACATGACTTGAGGAGGTCTCAGGTTCTTGTAGCTCCTCCTACCCTTAACACCTAATGCGTGGCTTCCTGCAAGAGTGGAAGGCTTGGGCTCAGTAACCTATGTTGCTTCTTACAATCCTACATGGTATGCTCTCTTTAAATAGCAACACATGGTACAAAATATGCAGAAGATTTTAAAGAGAAATCAGGTCACTGGACTTTATACCGAAACACATCCTCTTGGGTTCTTCTGCCCCATCTGTGCCAGAAATGGAGGAAACTAATTTGTGACTGCTTTCTGTTCCTTTGGGGTGAGTTGGACCTGAAGGAAGATGGAATCCTTACTAATAGCCCCAGTCTTCTGACAGATCCTTGCACAGTTTGTAGAATTGGAGGAAAGGAGTCCTTATTTTCTCCACTGTTCCTTGTGCTGTTGCATAAAGGCAAGTAAGTTATACAATAGCTAAATAGAGATTACACAACTGAGCTCCCTAAATCTAAATCAGAAACAGAGTCTGTATCCTGCACTGGACAAACATAAAAAGTGGAAGGGTGAAATTCTGGTCCTAATGAAGTTAATGGCAAAGCTCTTGCTTACTCTGGTGAGATCACAGTTTCATCCAAAATCTTGGCTCAAGCCTGTAGCTGGCTGACCAGGCTGGATATTTAAAGCATATCCCTGTTAAGTTTTCCAAGTACTGGGATAAGATGACCTTCCCTTTTTTTTTTTAAAAAAAAAAAGCTTTTTTCTTATTATAAAGAAATGCAGAAAAGCATTTTAAGACTGAGCAACCACTTGCAAACCTGAACTGGAAGCCTAAATAGACTAATAAACTATCTCTGAGTGCAAAAAACAAATATTAGAAAAGTGGTTGTTCCCATGCTTCAGTGTCAATACTTTAAGCCATTGAAAGCTGCTGCTGAGTCACACTACTTGGGTATCAGAGGGAAACATGGGAAACCCTGACCTGTGGGGGTTGGGAGTCCAAAAAAACAAAAAACAGACATCAACAAAACAAATAAAAGCCTCTAATGAACCTGAGACCTAAGCTCTCCAAGTAAATAAATTTATGAAATGATCCACTGTGCTACAAGGACTGCAGTGCAGCAGAGTGTTGCTGGAGCTGTTTGGCACACAGATCACACTAATTACTTGACAGTTGTTTCAGTTTGGCCTGGGGTGGACAGCAGTGCCGGGTAAGAAAAGCCATCAAAGTTTCTTCATGTCTCCGGGCTCATCTGGTCTCACTATTGAAAACTACTGCTGTTGCATTGAATGTTAGCATGTACACCAGGGGTCCCCTCACCCACGGGATTCCTACCTGATGAAAAAGAAAGGAAAAGTGAATGGAAGAGAAAAAGGAAAGCTTATGCAATCAGGGCCATGCATCACATGCATTCCCAGCCCAAGGGTTATTTCTCTCCCCCTCTTCCCTGAAGCGTCTCTTAACAACTGAGCTGATTCAATGCAGAATGTCCTTAACAATCTAACAAGGATTGGGGATCAACCTTATCTTACAGAAGCAAGCTATACATAATCATCTTGGACAAATCTAACATCCTGACAGGGTAGTAGGATCCCCCCAAAAAAATTATTCCAATGTATTAATAAACACAAATGCTGAACCATTTCTTGCAGAGCTTTTTGCAGCTGTGGAAATCCTTCCAACAAGCATCAGATAAAGCTGTCAAGATTGGGTAAGAATTGCTTCTACGTATGTGATTAAGCCTGAGCAGTTGAAAAGACCTAGCCTGCTATAAACAATTCAGTATGGTAGGTCAGTGCCATCCCAGTGTCACTGCTGACAGTTTCATTACTTAGGCCTGCCATGGATATAATTCTCCAGGCAACTGTCTAGAAAGTCACCATAGTCTTGACTGTTTCAGGACCAGCTTCTGACCAGCCCACAAATGGCCCAAGCAGGGCAGGCCAAAACCTCACAGGCTCAACTGTAACTTCCAACTTTCATCTCTGTGATACACAGTGGCACTGCAGGCTGTGGCTCTGTCCCTCTTCTGTATCAGCTAGAAGCCAGCTAGAACATGAGGGGCCAGAGAAATGCTCCTTCTTGTTTTCCTCACTGTGCAGAACAAATGACTACTCAACTTTAAGTTCCATAACCATCTATCATACTGCAAGCTTACACCATCAATTCGGATGGAGCCTTGCTACTTCACATCTTCACTCATCCCCTCTGACACTTGTCTACGTCTTTCTCCCTTCATTCACACTTGTGTCTTTTACTAACACCTCTCTCCAGTTACCTTTCCTGCCTTTTTCATTCCCTTTCTCACATCCATGATTGCACCCTCTTCAGACTACTCCCTCTTTCTTCTCCTTTGTTACACCCTGGACCCCACAGATCCTCCCTTGGCCTCAAAAAAACGTGATGAAGAGGGAGAGAAGAAGGAAAGAAGAGAGTGATTCTGTATAAGAGGCATTGAGAAATGCAGTGAATTCCTTGAATGAGGTCCTTTGAGAGGTACCAAAGGACTATGCAGGTTACCCAGAATTTCCTTTGGGAACCCCTGCTTTCTGCAGGTCATGGGTCTTGTTCTAAGTTTGTGCTTCATTGGGTGGAAGCTTTGCTTGAATGCTCACGTGTAAGAATCAAGGATTAAGCCCAGAGGTACATGAGCAGGTAAGATGAGTCAGTACACTATCACTTGCCTATGCCAGGTCTCAGTCATTCCCAGGAAGTCCATACGATTACTTGGCTTCCATCCCTTTTTGCAGGTAGTTTTTCTATAGCAGGGAGTTACTAATTTTTTTCCAAAAATAAGCAGAGCATTTATTGTTCAAAAATGCTGCCTCTGACTGTCAAGGCCTTTGCAAATACTTACTGTTAAGTGTGGACATTCATTCCTAAGTGTAATGACGAACATGGTAAACAAATCCAGTCCTAACAAGTATTGCTCACACTTCAGATGCAAAATCAGGAAACCCTGGGCTTTGGTACTCACTGGTGTCCTCGCAAACACAAATAGAAGCATTCTGTGTATTTTTCCAAGTTCTGAAGTGCAGTCATGCTTGTTTTACATTGACCAAATAGCTTGAAGTGCCAAGTTTCCAAAATAACAAAATATAAGAGGAATCTGGTTTGTACGTTTACTAAATACTAGGTTTGCATTTTGAAAGAAAAGACAAAGAACAGAGGATACTGTTACTTCTCAGCTGTTAAGTAAAACAACACTCAACAAAAATTCTTGTGTGTAGCTTCCTCTGCCCTGTCCAGCCTCAGCTGGATGTAGAGACAATCTCTTTCCAGGCATCCTGCAAACACTGACACTGAGGTAACACTCTCCTTTACCGACACAGCAGCCCAGATTGGGTGGCTAAGGAAAAGGCCTTTATTTTATCTATAAGGAATTCACTGGCACCAAGTCATGTGAGAGGCAGGCACAGAAAATGTGTTTAAAGATGCTGAGTGGCTTGTCTTACAGGATGAACTCTAGGGTTTATAAACTAACAGCTTGGCTGTGGATTGCTTTCCCTAAGCCTGATAGCTTCAGTTCCAATCATGAAAGTACAAACATGGTCGCAAACAGCAAATGCTGTCAACTACATGGCTTGCCACATAGTACAAAGACAACATCAACAACAGTAATTGATGTACACAGTCTGGTTTGTCTTAGTGATCCTAGAAGACCTTTGCAAAATTCAGAGATCATTTTAATGCAACCAAGCTCAGGGAAAACAGTCTGGGCCAGAATGAACAGGCATGATGGACTACTCTTACCCACCACAAAACAACTCTTCAGCCATCAGCAGTAGGACTAATGACCTGGTTTAAGGCAGGAAAAACTTACTGACAGCCTTTCAGGTTATGAGTATATAACAATTTCTCACCTAGTCTCTTCCTGAGCAAAATACCTGGTCCAGTGCTGCTGTCCAGTACTTACACCTCCACTAGTATACTGAAACATTATACCATACCCCAAAGTTACAATTTCCATTTGTCTTAGCAATATATAAGAACATATTTTAATAACTTCAAAGTGTTAGGCCAAATTTGATTATTCACTCTTCCTTTTTATCTGCTGCTGCTTCTTCTTCACTAAAGCCAAGAAAACATGCAAAATTTCTACCCAGAGAAAAAGATCTTTCTGTGATTTATTATTAGAACATAAAGCCAACATACATGAACAACAGGACATTGCAATCTCATTCTGATTAACTCTCTCCAAATTTACCAAAACCTTGTAACTCAAAACCAGTTTGTCCATATGCCAGCCTCTAAATTACCTGACAGACAGATGGTCAAGTATAAAAGCAGGATCAGTCACATCAATGTGGTAAGATGACTGAACAAAGACGTAGGTTATTACCAATTACAGCAGTTCACTTACCCTATAGTAGTCCGTGCTGTACACATCTCTAGACATCCCAAAATCCCCAATCTTCACCAGTAGGTTCTCACCAACCAGGCAATTCCGGGTAGCAAGATCCCGATGCACGAAGTGCTGTGACGCCAGGTAAACCATACCAGATGCAATCTGCTGGGCAATGTAAAGCATCTGGGATTGGGTCAGCTCAGCAGGACGGTTGGCTTCTGCCATCAGTACTGCATCTGGTCCATGTGACCTGCACCAAAATACAAGATGATTAAGTGATGGGTCAATTGTAAGCTGAAGAGGTGAAAGGCATTAGTGAGCCTAAAACCACACAACTGACTCTCAAATACAGTAACATAAAGGGGTACAAATTCATTGGTGAAATCAGGGAAAATTTTTATCCTGGCTTTTTTCATTTACTGTTTCCCTTCATTGTGTGAAAGACAGGTGGTGTGAAGAGCATTACCCAACACGTGATATATTACTCATATAAATAAGGCCTGTGCATTCACAATAATACCCCTATGTCCAAAACCACCACCTTTCTCCTGTTCCATCCTCGTAATCTTTTCTGGATAAAGGCTGGCAAATGAGCTCTTTGGTATCTGAGGAAAACCTTATCACTCTGTAAGAGTGAAAGGCAATGGAGTGAAAGGCAATGAAACGGCATGCACAGCATCACTTTTCCTATGACGGGCATGCTTTGATTTCTACAGGGAGACAGGCCATTGACCCTTCCATCTTTTCTTAAAGAACAAAGAGCTAAATTCCTTTTGAGATGCCATCTGAGAAACAAGGGCAGCAATTTTAGATTTACACTTCTAATTTCCTATCCAAAAGCACAGCAGTAAACCATTTTTGCTTATTTCATCACCAAGGGTAAGTCCTGCCTGAAATGGGAATTCTTGATAATAGGAAGAGGACACAAACCACACACTATCTGGAACGACTAAACAGCTTCAGAAATACAAATTTTTCAAGACTTAGTGAGTCCCTAAGATGCAATAATCAACTGATTAATGAGAAACTTGTATGGTCTCCAGCAGGAGAGCCATTTTGTATTTGGGAAGCCCAGCAAAGTACTGGAACACATGTGCTTCACCCATCTTAACTAGGTCTATTAACTCTGGTATACATGTGTAACATCCTAGTATCCTGAAGATACAGATGTAAACATTCCTACACACAACATTTTATAGTAAGCATTACTAGCTAATCCTTATCCAATCAATGAGGTCATCTGGCAATCATCCTCATTTGATACATCTTATAAAATTCTGAGTATCCCTTTCCATCCATTCCATTATTTGGGGTTTTCAGTAGCCTTTTTTATTCCATTCCTGAAGATTATTCTTTCTGAGCCCACCTCTCCTCTTCCCTCCTCAACTTTTCTTTTTTTTTAAAATCGTCTAGACCTGATTTTTATTTTCTCTGAGAAGTCCTTCCTTCCTACAAAGAGGAGTTTCAGAGAATCACCTTTCTAAACAATAGAAGTGAGGCCTTAATTCATCCCTAGGGGAAGGGCACAGGAGTTTGGAAAAGAGTTGCAAATTAATCAAAATCTGTGAGATCAAATCTGACACTACCTATTAGAAATATGATATTAAAATTGCCCTAAGGGAGGAACTTCATGAGCAAAGTGACAGATGTGAGAAAGAAACGAAGGAGGGTGCATAGCATTTCTGGGACTGCATCTGGTACCAGGCAAAGAAGCTCTCTGCCACTGGGTACATACAGGAAGCCATTTGAACTGGTCTGGGTTGGGGGAAATAAAGGGGACGATATGAAATCTCCAACCAAGACTCACAGGTAAATTCCTACTGAAAAGCATTGTACCTTTTCATTGCATGGATTTTTTTAAATGACTGCTCTCAGACATGAATCTCTCAGTTGCTAGATTAGAGAACACATCATGTTTTGCTAGCTTCCTTGAGGACATGGTCTGTACCCAATGAAACTTTTGGATTATTCTTAACACTCCATCCAGCTTGCTTGTCCTCTTGGTGCTGGCTGTAAATGAGGCGCTCCTTAGTGTTTGCCACAGCCAGGAACATTGACAGATTCTTTGGATTCACATCAGCCTCCACTAGCCAGGGCACCAGCCAACAAGCACAGGGCAGGCATGACTCTGAGGCTTTAGACCTAGATCTGAACCAGCCTTTGGCTGCATGCAGACAGCAAGGCTCATTTGAGTTAAATTTCAGATTAATTTTTCCCCGACAGCCTTTGGTGGCGCTGCAGGGTAAGAAATATAGGCTCTTAAAGCCCACTTACCACTAACCTCTGATCTGCAGCACAAGCTGCAGCAAATGTGAGAGGAATGACAAATTGGAGCTTCAGTTTAACAGCTTGTCCCAGCATAATCATTTTATGTTCTAAAGACAAGGGCTGATTAATAATTAAAAAAGGAGAAGACCTGAAGTAGGAAATACACTGTCTGCTAAACTACCTTTCTGTACAGTAATTCAAAATCAGCATTAGGATGTAGGAAAAGGCTAATCAAAATGAATCAACGAATAAGCATTTCTTATGAAATAAGAAATTATTTCTTTTCAGCTGTGATTCTAGATTCTTCTAATAGAAATTCAATGTTCTGAAAACGTACTGGGATGGCATCTTAGGAAACTGCAGTTCTCTCCTGATCCACGGCAGAGGTCCAAGCAGGCAAATGTAAATGCCCTGACATGGCTCTGACGATATACTTAAATCCTCTGCCAGAGAGACAATCAGTCTGGGAAAAGTAGTAGTGTTTGCTCTGCATCCCCAGTTCAGGCCCCAGTCTCCTTGCCAAACCTGGCAGCCCTTCCAATAAGGGAGGATGCTAGTTGATGTCATTTGCTTCTATGGTGTGGCTATTTGTTCAATGGAGATTAGAAAGACAGCAAACTCATTTCACAAAGGCTATCAAAAATGCATAAAAGGAGACACTAGCAGTCACTAGCCATTTCAGTCAGATAGAAAATCCGAAGCCATTTAAAGGGACATCAGTTCTGATTGTTTTACAGCTTTGTCACAGATATCTTGCCAAAATGGTTGTACC